GTTTCTGCCACTATTCGAGGAGATGAAGTGGTTATTCCCCATCATCGCTTAGTTCGGCAAGTCGCTGCTTACCGTGTCGATATATAGTACATGCGCAATTACTTTAATCTCTCGCAATTTCGATACTTTTCCGCGCAGCGCCATCGCTGAAGTTCTCACTGGATTATACTCCGGCGAGGATGATTATTAGGTGTTCTTAGCCGCAGCCAAGGATAATTCGTAAAATACTTGTATCTCGACAAAAATTACTTTATCTCCTCCCGACTCCTTTCTCCCTCACTCCTTTCTTTTTTTCTTTCCTCTTTCCATCTCCTGGTCGCTAAACGACTACACGGAATTGCGGTGATCGGCTAAAAACAAGCACCGAAAACGGTTACGCTGTGGCAATCGTGAAAAGTAATCGTTCCGCCTTGTCTATGAAAACCAGTTTTCAATCCGAGACTTGCTATACTTTTATGAACGAGTAATAAATGCATACAAGTCTTTGCTATACCATATGCAGACACTGTATTTATCGTATGTTTACTTCAACGGGCAATCACGTACAAGATCAGAGAAGAACATCGGATGATCAATTATCGAAGTCAATCGCTCAATATATATATATATATATATATATATATATATATATATATATATATATATATATGTGTATATACAATTATGATAAAAATTCCTACGAATCAAATTTATTTCTCTAGGATATTAAAATACGTTCTCTCTATTTGTAACCCATACGGGACACCAAGCGGCAAAACATGAAGTAGGTACAGGAGGCCGTTGACTGGTATCGCAGCTACAGGAACCAGTTCCCAACGTTTGACCTTACAACCCCACTGGCACCGGGGATAACAGACGGATTTGTATCTTGGGAATTGTATTCGCAGTCACCCTTGCCACTGGGATAACCCATAAGCGGAGTCCTGCACAACTATACCGGCTCTTATTTATGACGGAATGATCAGCCTGTAATTATGGCTCCCTGGCGAAAGCCACCTTCCGCCTCTACGTTTCTCCTATACACAATTCCCCTACCCTGTACTCGACGTCTTTCCGCCCACCCCTCGTCCTAATCGTATTATTTATGCGTTAATCGCTTATTCGCCAGCAAATTATTATGCAATTATTCGCCACATGACAACCACGCGCTGCGGATTATCATGGCGCTAGTATATGCGAGAAAGTGTCAATGTATATAGAACGTTGCTCCTTTAAGACCTTTTTTCTCTTTCTGTTTTTCTTTTTATTGTTATTACATCTCAGATACTCCTTATACGTATCGCAGCCGAAGTTATGGCGATAAATGGCTAACGGATCGAGATAATTAAAAAAATTACGATCCCGTTTGGCTGTTAGAATTCTTATCTTTAACGCGCATGCGCGCCGGCATTCGTTCAATCGGAATTTTTTCGAGTGGTAAACTCCATTAGAAAGATTTATATTTTATGTAGTTGCAAGGACGACGCGAAACGCAGGGAAAACAAGTTTCTTGTAAGATTGCGTGAGACTGCTTGGTTAATGCTCATAGACCTAGTTTTAATGTGGGCATGTACATAGTGGACATATATAGATATATAATTTATTATATATATAGTTATAACACCCTGAAAAAATCTTTCGGAAGAACAACGTGAATTCGGGACGGCAGTATCTTTTCTTTAGCAGCGAGAATCCCCTTAGGCCTTTATACACGTAGTTAGTCGAAACCGACGCTCGGCCGATGCTACGGGAAAACGTGGAAGGGACGAAAGAGTTGGATAGACAAGAATAATATACGGGCGCACGCAGCCAGCCATCCTGACGCGTGGACGACGATGTTTGACGAAGCGTTAGTTATCATGTGAGTATAGTTACAACAAATAAAAGGATCGTTTATCAGTTACAAATAGTAGCTAGTCAAGAGAGCCGGAAGATAACCAGAGAGCAAGAGAGATCCATGGGTAGGCTTAAAAATCTCGTATAATAAAAACATGGCCGCCATGGAAAATCGTGTGCGCGGTTCCCAAAGCGTAGGCTTGCGTCACGTGTAGAGTATAAATATTCGAAAGGAGTTTGGTCGCTGACCAGCCAGAGCCTAACCTAAACCTAAGCTAAAGATTGCTCAAGGCAATTCCGAATGAATCCGAATTCGCGTGGACAATGGATAAAAGTGCTGGAAGGTATTTTCTATTGGTAGGTTATTTGGCGTTACTAAATGGTTCAAGTGCAGTACCAAACGCGGCCATTTGCCAGGCGGTTTTAAAAGCGGAATATAAAGCAGTGGAAGGATGCTACATTAACCTTGCAGGCGGATGGCAGGGCAAGCAAGGAAGCCAACGCACAAGAGAGACCTTTGCTTTCCGTAGCTGTTTGGGGGCCGAGTCGAAGAACGGGCTAAGGCCAAGCCAAAGCTTAAGCTGAGAGAAGGAAGGGCCCCCCGCCTTACAATCCAGCCTGATTTATGGCCTGGCGCACATACATAGAGTTACACACGATATCATAATACCATTAATTCTTCGTCAAATTCCCCGCTGACTGAATCATACTGGCCGCGCAGTAAATCACGCGGCGACTAATGTGAACGCGACCGAGAGCTGTCTTATCTTCTTTAACCTACGGGGGCAGGTGGAAACCAATGCTAGAAATTCAGGCGTAAGGCTATTTCCAATTTACGTCTACTAGCACGTTTGTTACCCTTATAATTCGAACCGGTAGTATCCGACTATTTATTTTATGTAACCCGATGTCTGTCTATATGAGATTTCCGAACGTTGATCCTTTCCGACTATATTCGTACGGTTAATTCTTAACGGGATATAATGCGTCTTATTGATGCGCTTTCATTGATCGACCATGAATTTACTATAAGTGTATGTAAGCTCCCGTGGTGCAATCAATTACGGGTATCGTGAATATCGCGTGAGGTCGAAACCTTTGATTTTGCATGGGCGTGATGGATCTTCCAGCTTCCATTTTGGTCACTTCTTTAGTAATACTTATGTTTATTAAATTTCTGTATGGGATTCATTTACTTTCATATAGGTCCTACGGCACTTCTCCTTTTTTTTTGTGCGTTTTTTTACTCCTTTGACACTTCGGGCTGCTGCTTATTCTCATGCATCGCTTTGGAGCATTCACGTTAGGTTTCTGAGAATTCGGGATTCGATCGAACATACAGCGCAGTGATATTTGTGAAATATTTTTTCTGCTTTTCTAATAAATTCTAATTTTTTAAAATTTTTTAATAAAAATAAGTAAATTATTGTTTTTATCCTGTTTCTATGTCGCACCAACATGCATTTGCTACTAAAACGTTTTCTTTGAGAAATTCAGAAGAAATTCATTTTCACGTCTCTCAATTTTTTTAGACGCTTCTCCCATCTCAATTCTCAGAAAACGATGACACAATCCCACGGAAAAACAAGCGTCAGTGCGTGCGCGAGATGTTTGCAAAAGTTTTGTCGAGTAAGGTGCGCTGGACTGGTTTGGATTCCGTGGATAAAAAGGTAAATGGGTTTGCAGCTAATCAGCTTTGAGCGCGAGATAATTTCTCGGTGGTGGAACGACGCAGAAGTCAAGGCAATTGAAAATCACCGTGAAATTGGATAACGCCTTAATCTTGACTTTTATACAGAGTATTAGAAAACGATTGAAGCGCTTCGAGAGACAATGGTATTTCTTGGAATTATTTGCTTCGGATAGAGTTTAGGTTGTTTACATTGCTTTGACTTCGTAACATTGCGCAATCACTTTTTGGCTATCCAAGAAAATATATTTTTCTCTCAATTCAATTGAGGATTTTGCTTGTGCAATTTGTTGGGGATGCTTAATGACCTTGTTTGGAATGAATTAACATGCATCATTGTGGCACACTTAGCAAATGATTTAACGATCGTAAAGCGGTACTAATTAAATTGCCGTGCGTCCGGTATTTATAATCGGTGATTTTGTCCGGTTTTAAACTTCGATTAATTCACGTGCGCTTCCTTTTGATTCCACCGATGGTCCTTGAATGTCACGCATATTAATCTCATAATTCAGCACAGATTTCCTCATAAATATGGAAGACGTCAATTCCCATAGATCCGAATATACGATTTTACACGTTAATACGTTAACTGCCTTTAATATGCTCGCGATAAATCTCCTCACGAGGAATGTTCGAATCTGTTAAACATACCTAAAGGTATATATGTGATTTTTAATAACGCGCCTACGTCGTTTGCGTAGTGACTTTCTTTTTTTTTTATTTTCATTTTCCACACTTTTACAACCGCTTAGAAATCAAGTATACACGTGCATGGAATACGGTTTGAATTTTCCCACTCTAAAGTTCCTTTCTAAACGCGACTGAACACATATGGAAATGGGTATGGAGCGACGTTTCTCTTCCTTTTCCTTTTTTTTCGTTTTTGTTTCTCAGGAAGTCTCCGAAGTACACGTGTATACGTCCGACAGAAATACGAGTAAGCGAACGAAAATTCCAACTGGACCGCGCTTTTCCAAAAACAGGAGGAAAAAGGATCCCATAAAACGTCGGTGGTCTACCTTCGTGTATTTTCCTCATCTTGCGTTTCGACGCGTGCTGAAGTCATTTACAGCGTTACTATATTGTTACACGTAAATTTCCGGTATCATTACACGGTCTTCGAGCATTCTTAGGAGCTAAATGTATTTAGGAAAAAAAAAGTGTCAGTTTAAACAGTACATTCACAGTAGCATTTACACTGGTTTCGATGGTCCCACGACACTATCCATTTTATACGTATCCTACATAAGCGTGAACTTCATCTTACAATCTACAATGATATACGTAATTTTACAGAGTGACGCCTCACATGCTACAGTTAGATAAAAATGGTCAACCTTTCTGTATACACAGAATCTACGCCTAAAATTGTGCCTACCGTAGTGAAATGCACGAAACCCGCTGAACTTTTTTTTATCTAACATCATTGAAGTGTGTGAATGAACTTGTGGCCTAATAAAAATGAAACGAGGGGTACACTTAATCTACTTACTCTGTCCGATATGAACCCTTTTCATCCAGGGGTAGATTTGCGGAGGATTGCTGCTGCTGGCGTTGCCCTTGTTCGAGGAGTTATTACCGGTACTGGATGTGCTGGACGTAGACGAAGCTGGTGACGATGCAGACGATGCGGTAGTCAGCGTAGAGCTACCTTCGCCAACCCCCCTTGTACTACCACCAGGAGGCGATGCCGCTGAAGCAGCCACGGACGATCTAGAAGAACTTCCAGGCGGAGAGGCAAGGCCCGATCCAGCTTTGCTCGGTCCAGGTGCAACCAGAGGAGTGGGACTGTTCCTCGACGTGGAGGTCGTAAGATCCTGAGGCGAGGCTACGCTCGTGGAGGAGGTGGAGTCCGCGTATTTGCAGCTCGACGTAGAAGGAGCAGAGGGTGCTGAGGCGGCCTGGAGCAAGGGCGAAGTAGGATCTGGATGTAATTGCTGGGGATGATGTTGCTGCGGAGGATGATGCTGCGGCTGTTGTGGATGCATGTGTTGCTGAGACGTTGCCGTGGCGTTGAGCCGTGGCTGAGGTTGTAGCTGAGTGTAGTCTATCATCCCCGTAGGTGGCGTGTGCTGCATCCCCGCAGCTGGAGTTGCGTAGGGATGTTGAGGATAATGCTGCTGTGGCGAGTAGCAAGGTGTAGGGTAGCTGGTTGCCGCAGCATTTGGATTGTAGTAATCACCACCGGCGGGTGAAGCAGCCTGCATCGGTTCTCCAGGTGAATTAGGGGTGGGTCGTGGCTGGGGCTGAGGTTGCTGACCGGCGTAGCAAGAAGCCAGAGAATTAACGAACTGATAGGAACTCATCTTATCCCGATGTACTTTGGTGGAATCCGAGCTCACACGGAAAACTGCGTGCCTGGACGCGATACGATAAATCACCCGGATGAACAATCACAGGATACACTTAAAAAAAAACGTTTGAACTTCACACTGCTTTTGATGAGTATTTAAGTACGAAGACGTGGCATCGCGATTTTTTATTCTTTCACAAAGATCGCAACGACGTGGACGTCAACGACGACGACGACGAGAGCGACGACGACGACGACGACCTGAAGGATTTATACGAGAACGGTCGCATTGCTCACACGATTTCCTTCTGTTCCTTCTTTTACTTCAGGTTCTATCTTTCTTCGGCCAGTGACACTCTTCCACCTCCTGCGAACGAGTACGTCCGTATCTTAAGGTGTTCACAATGATTGTTACAGCGTTCAGGATAGCGGGGACTTTAACACGACTAATGATTCGATAATGAACGAGGGTCACCGACTAATAGAGAGGCACACGGACAAGCGTGCGAGCGAGCGAGCAAGCCAGAGTCAAGTTAGTTTACGAGCGCCACGTGGGCCGAGGCTATAAAACTGTCTTCTGCTTCTTTACGACCTTACGAGGCGCAATTACCTACGGGGAACTCGGGGGCCCACCGAGTAGCATAGCGGCCTATCGAGACGCCCCATTGAAAACTCACTGGTTGCGGGACAGCCGGGTTCCTCTTGGACAGGAAGTAGAATAACAAAGGAGTAAGAGTTTCTTGAAGGAGTTAAGACTCTCGCGACGTACGCGACCAACGCTCGATGACACAGGCGTTCCTTAGAGTTGATCGTTGAATCGCTCTTCCTGACGCGAAGGAACTGTACGACACCCAAGTAGTTCCGGTGTACCGAAGGCTCACGACACGAACGAGGTGTTCGTCGCGTTCTCGTATAAGCGCACCGACTCGTGTGTCTCTCGTGTTGCGTGCGCGGAAGGAGGTGGTATCGTACTGAACCGCGATCTCGGAGCCGGTGCGGTAGCTGTCACGTGCCGCGCTGCGTGTCAGGAGCGCCGACCAATCCCCGCCGTTCGTCAAACCTTGATTGGTCTCTCTTGCCGCCGTGGAGGATTCTTCAACCCCGTTCTCCGCTGGTCGAAGTGACAAGGATGAGAGGGGTGCGAGTCGTAGCTACGGAGAAGGGAGAGCCCGTCAGGGGGGCTAATGGAGAGATATTCGGGAGCCCGTGGTAGTGGGGGCCCACTCTAGGCTCGACGTCACCGAAAAGTCTTCCTCTGGTGCGCCCCTGGTGCGGTCAGGGGCCCGCGCGCACGCGCCCCCTTCGTATCCTGGGGGTGGCCACGGGTCCACGAGGAATCACGAGATGCTGCGATTCAAAGAGAAACCGTAGACGTGCGATTCTCCTCAAGACGATCTTAGGCCTAAGTCACCGGGGGATTCGAACTCTTCTGGACCACTACTGGTTCCGTTCTTTGATCTTACGGTTCGCTCGATTTCGGAATTCCACGCCACTTTAGTCAAGGAGCCTGAGTGATCTAGCACGGGGGCCTGGCTCCTTTGACTTTGGAACACGGGGTCCTGCGAGAAGAGCACGCCGGAACCTGAAAGCGTTGAGCTCGCTGGAGAAGGGGCGCACATAAGTCAGCCCGGCGGTCGCGGCTGACAGTTTTATGAGAGTTTGATAGCCCCCGCCACTTGCTCTTTCGTTCTTTCTCCCTTTCTCTTCTTCTACCTTGACTGGTACTCTCTCGTTCTCGCGCTCCTTCTCTCTTCCTCTCTGTCCTGTCTCTTCTGGCAAACTGCGAGGACAGAGACACGCGCACTACGCACCGCACTCTTTATCGTCCCATAAATTCAAACCTGTTGCCCATACCCGAGCGAGCGCAAGGTAGATCCTCTCCTCGCGATCCGATCGATGCCCCGTTATCGCTCGACGGCGAACCCGGACGCAACTCGTAACTCACTGAACGACTGAACTCCGAGAGCCTTCGAGTTGGCGGCTCGCGCCAGAAGCATGTGTGACGTAGTAGCCAGTCGGATGAAGGGGAGAACGGTGGCGACGCAACAGAGACCGAGCGAGGTCCAGTGCCGAAGAGAAGCAAAGGAGAGAGGAGAGATTGCCCTCTCGAGGAGGCGGAGCTCCTTTTAGTCCTAGCACGCTTCTTCGGAGAGGTCCTTTCTCATTTTTTAATTTTATTTCACTTCCTTCTTCCCATTATAACTTTTTACTACGTGCGATTACACACTTGTCATCCTCGTAATAACCGAGTCTGTACCAAGTTATCTAATCAATGATAATCGTTAACAAGTAATTTGTTTTTTTTTAATTTTTCATTAGATCCTTTATTCCGGTCTGATCACCACGTCATGGCTACTGTAACTGGTGTCTCGTCCTGTTCAGGTACGAAGCTCGCGGGTTGCGATTTTGACGGCAGAACTAGTATCCCAGTTGCTCACCAGATGTGGCGAGTGTGGTCGTTCCCGTTGAATTGAAGTGCGCGCCCGCCTCCAGGATACCCTTCCCACATACCCCTACTCCGACAACGGTCCCCCTCCAATTGCACCTTATCCCCACTTTTTCAACCTTCTTTCCCACCCCGTTCGTTCGGTTGCCCCGTCACCGACGCCGCCGACGGAACTGGCTATCTCTTCCACTTCGAGCCATAGTAGCTCAGAACTATTCCCCTCTCTTTGGCAGCACCATTGCTGCCAGCCGGCCAGCCTGCCAGCCTGCCAGCCTGCTTGCTAGTCTGCTTGTTTGCCTGCCCGGCTGCCACTTTCGGCTCCTTATACGTTATTTCACCTATCATCCTTCTAGCATGTATTTCCCTACCGTTTCTCCATAGGGAGACAAGTGCTTGGTGGTCAGAAGCTTCTGATCGTTCAGACCCCGAGGTTTCTTTACACTTGTATGATCCACATGAGTAAGTGGACCTTAGATACACTATCTGTATATTGAAAATTCTCAAAACTCACTTGCCTATTCGTAATTTGACAGAATTATATTTTTTTTCTTAAATTTTTAATTACTCATAGTCAATTAATTATTTCCAGTATTATTTCAATTTTATAACAGACAATCTATCATAGCTTAGTTCAAGAGTGAAAGGTATAATAAAAGTAGCCACGTTATCCTTCTAAAGCAAGTGACCTATGTCAAATTCTCCTTATTATTAATTAATAACTTTAAACCTCTCATCGTCCAAAAGCCAAGTTTACGTTATTTATTTATCTGATATTTAAACAAAAAATTTCCGATTTATTCCAATATTATATACATCCTGGTTCATTAACCCTTGACACGTAACGCTACGTAGCATACCCTTGGTAATTAACGTATAAAGTGCATCGTGGCACCTGAATCAAATAATGTCAATCAAGAACCTGAAACGGTCCACACTGACTGCAAACTGCTCTAGGTAAGTACATCAGCATCAAGAATAACAATACCTCTAGATGCGGTGTCGTAAAACGCGTCTCCCACAAAGAGACAAGGGTACGTTTTTTTTACGAGACAACAAATGGCCGATTTAAGTCAAACCCTTTTTACGAGTTTCAGTAGCCGAACGTCACATGCTTCCCATATAGAAGGACGATGGGTTTTAACGTGCCGCAACAGTGCACCCAACATCCCCATAGCAATGCCAACGAAGTCATCACGTGGTAACAAGACAACCCCCCACAAAAGTCACTGCGCAAGTAAACTCTTAAAAGGATCTGACAAAAGAAATCGCATGATTAGACCATTTCGTCCGCGCAGCGGCCATTGGCTTCATTCCCCCCGTGTCACTACTTGCCGCAGCCCCTATTAGAATTTCTAATAAAGCCGTACGTCGTAGGTGTAAAAAACGTATCGAGACCTCCATGAATCACGTGTCGCAAAGGCGAGCCGCCAAGACACGTGTATCTGTTATGCTCTGCCTTCGAGGATGGTTCATGCACGTTCCTCCCTTTTGCATCCTCGGACGCAGCATCTTCCGTACCAATGAGATCCCTATACCTTGCAGTGAGCATTTCTCTCTGCCCCCCCCCCCCTTACAACTCGTTTACCAGCTCGAGAACTCTTTCGATAATTATCATCATTGAAATTAACTTTCAATCGTGGTGCAACGACTGCATGCTACAGTGATTTATATCCTTTAGGCTTTGGGATGCTGTAAAGCAGTCCATATACCTGTATAGTGTATAAGTAGATACCTACCTTTTACCAAGGCACCCAGGACTGTTGTCAGGTAAATAAAGATACCTCGTGTAACATTTATAATTTTTACTTCTTTCTCCTTGTTACCCCCTTCCGTCCTGATTTAGGAAAACGCATCACGTACAGGATCGCCTACGCGTTTCGAGTGATTGCGTGTCCACCCTTTTAGCTGTTGGTAATCAAATCAAATTGGACGATGATTAGCATGTGACTGTTTTGACGAAGATGAATCGGTTGCGTGCCACGCGATGGCTGTATACTCGGTGCTTGCGTTTTTCTCAAATGGACAGATGGGGTTGGCCAACGATTAAGGGACGTTTGAGTCCCGCCATTTTGTAGTAATAATTTTTTTCAAGGACTTTTATTCATTTTTTTAAATATAATATTAATATAATTAATATTCACTTGACACACTCTTAATCAAATACAGGTCAAACGTGTCATTTGATTAAGAGTTCATGGATTAGGAGTTTACCTGTACCTGATGACTGAGTACAGTTATCAGTGCTTATAATGAAAAAGAATTCCTCTTTCGTTACTAGGCGTATCCTAGGTAGAAGATAGGAAAGTACGTGAAACGTTCCCCAATGGCAGTGTTGTACCAGAAGAGTAGGGGATGTTTAACATGCGACCTCGTACTGACAGCCCCCTGAAAAATGACCGCGATCTTTAAACTAAAGTGTCCGCTAATAGATGGGATCGAGTAAATGGTTTGTTAGTGCTTAACGGGTATCACTGCACCCTACGTGCGATTTGAAAAATCATTTAAGCACAATGTCGGACAAAAAATGTATGTTGCCGTAATTATCCATTTTCGTCAGGTATAAAACACAGTATATGTATATATACATATATATACATGAATACATATAGCGCGTGACGTATACGTATCTTACTCGTGAGAATTGCCATATGTAAACGCGATATGCAGAAAAAAAATGTATTACCATTTCGGGTATGTTCGTGCCGACAAAATGTTTATTCTTAAATAGAATCCTTGATTATCTTGCGAGATAATAATGAATAGAATATTATTTGATATATATATGTTTGATTAGCACGTATACGATGCGCGTGGGCGACAGTGTACATGCGTTCTGCATAATTAAGGGCAAGATGAAGTAAAGGGGTGTAAAAGTGTATAAGAATATGTATACGTATATAGTGTATTCAATTTAAGACCAGCGGCTAAGACGCGTATAGCAGGAACACCAATACATCTCCGTGGGCCGGCCATGATGGATTACTGGAGCTATGGGAAACTATCTGTCAAGCACAATATCGACCCCAACCCTCTTCGTCCAACCCCTGCAACTCTGGCTCTGCTCTCACTGCCACTGCTGCCCTTAGGTATATACATATATACTGTATAACGCCGTGTATCTTGGTCTATACTGACTCACCTATACTCTAGCATTGAGTCCGTAACCCCCAACCATAGTGAGCCCTCGACCATCAACCCCCAGCCTTTTCACCCGAAACACCCCTAGAAGACCACCCTCGTCCTTGCCACCATCTCGCGCCGAAATATTCCTCCCCTCTATGGCTACAACTTTAAATTGTTTTATTTGCATTGCGTATCGTTCGTGGGATTCTTCGGAGCATCGGTATACCGTAGGATTGTGCGAAACGTCATATTCTTGATCGCTTATAATTTTTGTGTGTTTTAGGTAAAAATGCAAAGTCCTTAATTATATTGACACTTTTTAATATGGGTGGTATCGGGAGCTCGGAAGAATCATTATAATTTATTATCTTCAAATTTGGATAAATTTTTTTTTTCGTTTATATACATACATACATGGTGGCCTTTGGTCTACGATAGAATTTATCGTGGCACTGTTAAACGATGTGAACTAACCTTTATTCGTAATGCCGTTATTCACTTTCGAATTGGTGTTATTAAATTGTCTTGTATTATTTCGCGATGGGTACATCGTGAAATCTATGGCAGGATTGGTGCGCGTATATATCTATCAGGTCACGAGGGACAAATACTATTGTACTATGTTCATTTATCATGAAACTTGTTACGTGGACTTGAGCCATTTGGAAACGTCAGTTAATTTCATCCCATAAGAAATCTCGCGTAGCTTCTCGTCGTACAGGATTTAAAAAAGTCATCGCCCACGTATCTCATAGGCGACGTCAAATGTCTTCATTAGCGAGATTGTGAAATTCAAATAATAAATATGCCGAATGTAGTAACGACTTAACATGCTACACGTTCGATTTATCAATGAAAAAAAGATACTAGTACGTCGAGAGAATGCAGGAAAGAATTTATACAGGAAATCATTATACACGTACCACTGACAGACCGTAAACTTTCCTATATAATTTATTGCAATGTTAAAGTACAAAATATAATATACGGATAATTTAAAAAATATCTATACATAAGTATTTATATAAGTATCGACTAGTATCTTCCTTGAAATATTAGAAAAATATCATTCATCTGTATGTGTATATACTGCTGCTGAATTATCTCGTTATCATCTCTTGTCCAGTATTATCATAAATATTCATTAAATTTTATTTACGAGCACAGTATATCTATAACGTGTAAAGGTACAATAAAATAGTATTTGATTCCTCAATTTCACAGTGCAATATCAAAATACGACGTTGCACCCAGTCGACAATAATTATTTATCACGTTCAGACGTTCATTAGACAACTCGTTAAGAGCCCTATTATTTACAGTACCTTAATTACTAGTAGGAACATTCGCAAATTCACCATCCGTACTGGGATAACGATCTGGAAGAAATGAGCTAATTAATGTCTTTCGAAGGATTTTTTCAAGTGCATGTACATGCATTGTGTATATATATATATATATATATGCATCGTATATACAGCGCGTATACGGTACACGTGCGTATCCGCGTTACGCGACAAACTTGCCGGTATTAATTTTGTGCATTTTCAAAGATACGATAGCAATCGTGACTCCTTCAGTGGGACTGTTGCTGTAATAAATTCGTTACACGCTAGCAATGCGTTTGCCTTGACAGTTAGATATGCAAAATGCGGATGTATACTTATGGGAGTTAATAAAGTGCCAGGTTTATGTGATCCTTGCGGAAAATGCGTGTAGTGTAATTCTCGCGGGTTTCGTGAAATTTCCACAAAGGCTTTCTCTTTCCCTTCAGATCGCTTCTCTTATGCTTCCTTCCTTCTCTTCTTTTTTTTTCCAGTCGCTTCATCCCTCCTTCTCTTTTACCGGTGGCCATTAAATTTTCAGGGCTTCGGTAACTTTCAAAGACTATACGCGCACAGGTAGACGCGTCTTAACTTTTCTTGCGAAAACTTTCACTTTTCAAATGTTTTTCAAACTGCGTTCACGCTCTTGGTCTTTCGTTTGCTATTTGTATACTGTGTACAGTGAAATAATTTCGGTACGCAATGGAAAGATGAAGTGATTAATTGAAAGATAAGTATTTTGTTCATAGCCAAATTAATTTTGTCACATCAACCGATTCAAAATTGTCGCCATTTTTTTATGTCTTAAAAAAATATTAGCGGCGATCACAACAATTTTTTTCTAGTTCAAAACATTTTTCACTCATGTTACTTACAATGTTAAGTCAATTGAGGTGCAATTGATTTCCCAAAAAAATGGCGACGATCGGTTTTTTTGGCAATACCGATGTAAGGAATTTTTTAAAATTTTAGATTAGCTTTGTAACGATTACTCGATAATCACTCCAGATCACGTATATTATTTGAACAAGGGGAATGTTTTGTAACCGTCCGCAAGGCCTAGAGAACGCTCTTACAACAATCGATTGTTAGTCTCGTCCAATACTGCAGCAACATCACCAAACTCAAACATCACGAAGCACCATACGCGATAACGAATGAGAAACGATAGTTTATTGCAAAATAATAAAACTACGGCCAAAAAGTATGAATATCGTGAGGAATCTCGTATGACACGTAAGCAACGCGTTCGGCCATCTTGTTTTCGTATGAAGAGCGCAGCTGCACTGCCAGCCCCCACCCTTGATCTTCACAACCCCTAACACCTAACCGACACAAATGGCTCCCTTATCCCTGGTCTTGCGTCAGGCTCTTACCTAAGAAAAATCTTGTGTAAATTTTGGTTATTCCGCTGTTTAGAAAATTTACTCTTGAAACCAACAAAATTGTTGATGTTAAAAAAAAAAATCACGAATTCTTACATACGACATTCTCTTCATAGAAGTGACTCGGTCGCTTTAGGAATACCAATACGAGATTTATATTACGGATGCGAGCGTACGATTTGTTACTGACGATATTATTATTTTGCACCAGTAAGGAAACTCACGTTGAAAAATGAGCCGTATTAATCACGAAGAAAGAAAACTCGTGGTATCTCTATTTTCTCAATTCCCTCAAAATTTCGTACCCGTCATGAATTACACAATGGTATTGAATATTGCCGAATAATAAAAATAATAATCCTCCACTGACCCTCGTTATAAGTATAATCAAATCAATTAACTGAATCATCAAAACCAAAAACCACCCCTTTATGTACAAGACTTAATGTAATAAAATGCCTTAAAAATGTACTCTCTCAAAAATTTACTTCGTTTGAAATTTCCCGGGAAAAATATCTCCCTGACAAGATGGCCGTAAAGTGCACGGGATACTTTGCGAAGCAATTCGCATCCATCATACGAATATATGAGTATCATGCCAAAGTCAAAATATTTTCAGAATGACGTATGCAGTACCAAGTCGGCACGAAGCCGAAGAAGCAGGCAGGACGTCCTGGCAAAATGCAGCGTGAACACCGTCGAGCTTTAGTAGATACCTGGCGTGGGATGCTGGGCTGTTTAGCTCGTTTAGCCATAAATCATGGTGGTTGCAGGGTCAGCTGCCCGATCTTGGCCGGTTGGCATTCCAGGTTCACGATCCAGAGTGCAGCTCCAACTTCGTGGGCTGACCGTAGTTCTGCTGTTGCCGGGCGTAATCCTGACCCGCGTAAGGTCCCTGTTGTTGGTGATAGCTCAAGTAAGCCGCGTGAAGTTGCTGCTGTTGTTGTTGATGTTGATGCAGGGAGTTTTGTTGTTGATTAGTACCTTTCTGATTTGGATTACTTTGCATCATCATACTCGTTGATCCATTACCACCGTTCAATAGCAATGATTCTCCAGTCGGAGGCTGATTCGTATTCAGCTCTTCAGGAACATTTGAATCTAGGGGATTGAATCCCATTTTTCCATCTTTCTTGGCCTTCATACGACGATTTTGAAACCATATTTTTATCTGGCGCTCTGTGAGACACAGAGCATGTGCTATCTCTATGCGACGTCTTCTCGTTAGGTAACGATTGAAGTGGAATTCTTTCTCCAGCTCCAGGGTTTGGAAACGCGTGTACGTTTGTCTTGTGCGCTTTTGTCCTACGCCACCGACGTCGGCTGAAACAAAGAATGGAATTTAAAAGTACCAGTGGGATTGATGTAAAGTTAATGCAGAAAGTTGTTCAATGAAATACTTATGCCGTGTTCTAGATATTCCAGTTTGGAAATTAAAAGTACAGGCATAGTAACATCCCCTTTTCTACATTTACAGTGCTAAATAGTATTCAATTCTTATTATACATTTTTTTAATAATGTCATTTTTTTATTGATTTTAATATACAAAAGTATTTCAAGACTTATTCATGGTCGACTGACCGTTCGAGTAGTTCGACTTCATCCAAGGGTAATCAACTTGTCTCTGAGGTGGATCTTCCCCAAAATCACTGCTCTCTTTGGGGCTTCCCTTCCCATTATTATTATTCCCATAAGAAGGATATCCGGGTTGCATCGTCTCGAATCCCGTCGGCGAAGTGGGTGTCATCATCGAAGTGGCACAGTTTCCGGTCTGCGCCGGCGCAGAATAACCCTGATATGGTTGCCTATATCCGATACGAATATCCGGTTGTTGCTGATGCTGAAACCGTTCAGGATTCACAGAATCCCCAAGGAGTCCACTCAATGGGGAAGTTCTATCCGACGAAGAAGATGGCGTGTAGGGTGGCGTCTGACATGGAATATGCGTAACCGTAGCAGGAGCAGCCTGACCAGTAGATTTCACATTGGAATTAACATAACCATCGCCAATAGCCTCTTTCCCATGTCTTAACAAAGTTTCCAAGAGACTCGACGGCGGCGTCACTTCCTGTGAACTTCTAGTGACGTAACCAGACGGACTAGGTTGCTGTGGCACCTGATAACCAGCAGAGCCGTGAAAGAGCGTCTGATCACCAGGTCGACCGTCACTGATAGGCTGATAAGGCCAATATCCGGTTTCACTGTTAGCGAAATACGCTGAACTCGTCATAGTTCACTGTCAATCCAGATCACAGTGACACTTGAAATTGTATCTTGAGCACCAAGTAACACAGGACACTTGGGACACGGTGTACTTGAAAAATTCCAAACTTTTTATAAAAATTATTAGCGATTTAACACATTTTCGAATCCTAGGCGTTTCCGCTCGCCACCGATCCGTGATGACCACTTGCACGCCGGTTCACTTCTGAAAGCGTGAGCAAAGTTCAGCCGAACACGAAGGCGACATACAATGAAATGAAATGATTTGTGTCCCCGTGACGATTTTGAGCCTGGGGTCCGTCGGACTGGCAATGGGGGTTCGCGCGTGCCAATGGGCCCCCGAAACTTTCACCGGTTTATTACAGTATAGGCAGCACGAAGAAGGAGGAGAGTAGGTGTATGGCTATAGGGGGTAACTACCCCTGGTTCAATGTTCCTGTAGCGCCTCCCGCCAAGCCATGGTACAGGGGTGGCTCTATCAGCTGCCCTTTGATACAGGAAGGCCACCCCCGATATTCACTCGATACCGTTCGATGCTGTGCCAGTCCCCTCCCACTATTAACGCTATTGACACAAAACCCATATTGGAGCCCCCCTGGCCTAGCACAATGCCGCTCCGCCATGTGTGCCACCACCCCAATACCCATCCCTTAGCCGTCCTCTCGTCCCCCCAAACTTTCAACATTCAGGACCTATATCAGCTATAAACTCTGATTTGAGCTTCTGATTTCACAGATCTGTATTCATACAGGCCCGCACTCCTCTGCAACCCCTTTATTTCTGATCTCATCCCCAGAACCTACCTACGACTGTCCGCGACTTTTTAAAAGCCAGCCACAGGGATATTTCAAGGAAGCCAGGACAGAACGGAAGGAAGGAAGGTAAACAAAGTGCGTGCTGCAGCTAGGCGGAGGCAGTCTTGCGAGTGACGTCTCTCTCCGGAACCCTGCCGGCGACGATTAATCAACCCTGCACACTCTCATCCCGTGTGTATACGTGCATTTAGCACGGTCTCTCTTTTCCTCTCTGGGCTCCCTCACTCTTTACTTCCTACCTCAGAATCCACTCCTTCCTTTATCCACCCCTTTAGACGCTGTCCTACGTATTTTCATTAATCCCACTTTTCGTGAGCTTGCTCCCTACCGTAGCTGCGTTAACACATGACCGATACACACGTACGGCGCCTCCATGCTGCAGAGAGAGAGAGAGAGAGAGAGAGAGAGAGAGAGAGAGAGAGAGAGAGAGAGAGAGAGGGAGGGAGTTAGAGAAGAGTGAGAGAAAAAAGTTGGAAAGACAAAAAATATCTTTGGTTCGACCATTTTTTAACGATAAGTGAGATGTATCCATTTAGAGTGTGGACGCGTGTGTCGTCGTCTCGCCACTATAACTGTTTTGTGTACGCGCTGGTTTCGGCACGCTCGCTTTAAAATAATTATCGTTAACAGACGCGAAGATAATAGGCCGCACCGTGGAAAAACTATAAATAGTAAAGCACCACCGAAAAAGTGATTGATGATGTGTGCCACTACGGTGTCCGAGCTACGGAACAACGCTAGCTGGACGTACGTATATACATATACATATGACTAGGACTAGTGTGATGTCTGCAGGGGTATCGGACTGGGTTTCATTTATGCGGCCGTATAAAATGCATAGACCTATGTATACGTACATATAGGTGTAGACGAGAGTCGGACGATAATAAATAATAATCCAAAAAGGGCGATGCTTGGTGGGAAGGGACTATAAGTTTAGGGTGCTAGACCACGGGGGTAAATCGTGACCATAAACGATTCTCGCCACTAACTTCATTTTCTCAGCTAATCATTTATTTCGGATACGGTAGCCATACGTACGTTTAGTTAGACCACGAGATATACCCCGTGCTGGATCATTTTTATTTGACTACGTAACCTGGAACGCCTTCCGGCCCGAATGGTGGAAAGTCGCGCGTGGCGTGACGCGCGAGTCTTTCTTCTTGAGAAATGGTCGTCTTTCTCGGAAACGGGAAGTAGGAACGCAATAAGCTGTTAAGTGAACTACCTGGATGACACCTGGGTTGAAGTATTGCGCAGAAAGTACGTTCGTTTATATTTTATGGGGCTGCCTCGTAAGTACTTTGTAGCTGGAGAGAACCTGGGTAAGAGAGTCCAGGACACGCGCGGCCACGCGTCCCCATCCTTCTGCCTTTCGTTGCTTCTTCTTGCTGCTGCTGCGCCGTTGCCGTGCGCTTCCAATGTGTTCCTGAAGTTGTACTTGCTGTGTATTAATTTTTACTGCAGCTTGGCGTACCTTTCTGTTGCTACCTAGTACAAATGTAATTATAGGCTGTCCTTGTAGATTTTATGCAGGTAAGACGTTGCTTTTAAATGGTAGAGTATATATATATATATTTGGCTTTAGAAATGTTTTCGGTGTCGGGGATGTCACCGATGCACAGTAAAACTTTCTCCTATTTCAAGAAACAACTTTGTGACTGACTGAGATTTACGTCAAAATTATTGTTACGTTTTTGGATTTCGTGGAGACACGTGACGAAATATTATAGTGTTTGAGATTTTGTACGACAGTAGTAAATTATTTTGTTGTACAATACGTTATTATTTTTACTCTTGGTCATTTTCAATATTATTGTGCGATTAATGGCGAATTTGTATTATTTTTTTTTTTTGTAATTTTCTTTCGTGTTGACTTTGACACTTGTTTCTTCTGAATTATGTTACTATTTTGTGCAGTAACAGTTACTTTGGTTCGGTAGCGAAATTAAATTAGAGTTCTCCGTGGCGTGAAATGGCGTTCTTCTCAGGGGGCGACATATGTGCCCTTTTGAGCCCTTTGCCCCTACTCCGGCGGTTGGGACCGAGGGGTAGCGGCAGGGACAGACGAATTTCGAAGCGAATTCGAAGGGGGCGGCGTTTGCAGCCATTTGGGAAAATTGGGAATATCTGGATCAAGCAGAAGGCCTATCCGCTATTATTGTCCGATTGATTTATACTTTGTTTGCGGTGTACAGTACTGCGGCAGACGGTCTTATGATCAGCCAATCTATCCATTAGATCCAGAGCACAATTCTCTATTAAAACTTTAAACGCGTTATTTATCAAGTCTAAAAATCCATACCTCCAACACAATTCCTTAACCATCCATCAGAAACCATAACCCATTAAATTTGGAGTCATACCATTGCCAGTCATAAAAATCATTACCCGTCAAATAAAAATTGCAAATACCACCCTTTACAAATTACAACAATAGAGATATTCGGTCTATACCTGGAAGAATAAAAAATTGTAAATTTTTCAACAATTTTTTTTTTCATCCAATAAAACTAATTCCTTTAGTCCTAATTGTATTTTGACAAGCCATCGCAAATTCAACAACCCTAATTCCACGGTCGTATCCGTACGTCCTGTAGGATGGCTATGCGATATGCAGGAGCGAGCAGGCGTTTCAGGGCGGAGCGCAAAAAGTGCTGAGCAATGGTACGAGGGGCCGAGTTGAAGCTTCGTTAAAGGAACCGAAGCCTCGAGGACCGAAGTAGAAACGCGGGTGCGTGACGTGTCAGTGACGTATCTTCAATCCACCCGTCCTGATCCCTGAGTACCGAAACATGTGTATCTCGACCAGCAGTATGTGTCAATCTTTTTCTGCCTCCTACTGCGCCACCATACGTACCGATGTCTTAACACGAATACGGGGTACGATGATAACGCAGAGTCGTGTCGCTTGCTTTCTTTTTTACTGCTCGGCATCTACTTCTTCTTGATCCGAGAGAACCTAAGAGGTCTAGAAATATTTTCCAGGACAGTACGTACCTCTGACAGTTTTCGGCTCTCATTGATGCTCCCAAGGTAACGCAGATCCTGAACACGCGCCAATAACTCCCAGTCAGTGCTTTCCTTAAGAAAGGATTAAGGGATTGCGGAGGCTCGTAGGACAGAAGGAAGTGTACTCATCAGGGGTTCTAGAACTGGTGACAGTCTAGCCTGGGGTATTGCTAGTGTCAACCAGTAAACCCAAACAAAGGATTATCCTCGGCTAGTTCTCAGGTAGTCTTGTACAGTGCCTAATACGAGACCCTAGGGAATTATGACTCCAGCGAGGGTTGTATTCGGGGTTGGTATTGAAAGGGTAAACATTGGATTGAATTAGCAACCGACTAATTTTTGTTGTTGATACATAGACGTATTTTGGCTATGTCTCACGCCTATCGTTTTCTTTTCAAAATTCCTGTACTGAAGTTCTAGCTGGGTTTTTGTGATTTTTGGAAACCAGTCATACCCGTGCATAAAATATACGAAAAATTTTAATCCATGCTTATCATAACAATAAGAAAAAAAAATCTGTAATTGATTCAAGTAAATTTTCCGTATTATTTCATTCTTTCGAATAAAAAGTGAAATATTTTGAATTTCAGGTCTCCTAGAAGTGGTTTACGATCAGGAACCAGCTGACGCAATGCATCGCCACAGGAGCGCTGAAGCGGAAATGCACTTTGGGTAAAAGTACTGCATCGCTTAATAATAAATAATCCGTTATCGATTATATTCCACTGATAATGGATCTGTCTAATCATTTAGATTGTTTAGAACGTATAAGAACAGTATACTACTACAGATATCATCTAATGGTCATCCCTATTGTCATTAATGAACTTCCTTTCAATAATTTTTTTTTTCTTAAAAAAATTTCCGTATGAATAGAAGATTTTTGTAACGGATAAGCAGTCAGTGAAGCGTCGCGGCGTCGGCGGATAGTCGTCGTATCAATGCGGCGGAGATTGACAGCCTCGGCTATGATAAATGATGTTCCTCTGTCCCGTACCACAGTACTACCCTCGACTCCCTCCGCGTGCCATAGTAGCACAGAGCCACCCCTGCCGGGGTGGGGATTTCGTAGAAGCAGGGTTAGCGGGTTGGACGAGGAGAAACTCCGCGGTGAGAAGTAAACACGTTACACAAACGAATGTAGGATCAATAGTGTTACGAACTGAACAGTCGAGAAGTG